GAATCCACCTGCCAATGCAGGGGACACGGGTTCCAGCCCTGGTCTGGAAAGATCCCACATGCTGCAGAGCAACTAAGCCCGTGCTCCACAACTACTGAAGCACGCGCGCCTAGAGCCCATGCTCCGCAACAAAAGAAGCCACCGCAATGAGAAGCCCACGCGCTGCAAGAAGAGTAGCCCCCGCTCGCCTCGCCGCAACTAGGCAAAGCCCGCGCATAGCAGCAACGAAGACCCAACGCAGCCAAAAATAAATTTTAAAAACGAATAAAATAAATAAATATCTAATTTTATATGTCAATTATACCGCAATAAAAGCTGAATTTAAAAAAATAAAAAGGTTTATGGGCTCTCAGAAGAGAAATCCTTTCCCCACTTCACTAGTCAAATCCAATCAAAGCTACAAGACCCTGAAAGAAAACTGGCCCCGTCAGGTTTACTGGCAGCTGAGGCACCTGCGAAGCCCTCTCGGTGCTACAGCAGGCCGTGGGCACCAGAAAGGTCACAGTTTTCCAAGAATGAAAAAATAATGCTCACCCACAGAGCTCTGGGATTTGAAGAAATGTTGTCCATAGGAAGGAGAATCACTAAGCAACAGTTTTGGGAGCCCATCAGTCCAGTCTCTGCAGCCGTCTTCACGGTCTTGAGGACCCTGACCCCACCAGGGGTCTTCATCTCCCCCAGACATGCCCCGCTCAGTGAGGACACCATGCCAGAGGGGGTTCAAGAATCATTGGTCCTGAGGCGTCAGGACTTTCTGGACCACAAGGGACTAGGCATGCTTTCAAAGAAGCGGACAGATTTCTGGAGGGTTGAATTCGAATTTATTCGTATGAATTTTTTAAACTGAGATATAATTGACCCGTAACATATTCCTTTCAGGTGTCCACATAATGATTTGATATTTGTACATATTACAAAATGATTACCACGATAAGTCTAGTTAATATCTGTCACCACAGAGTGACTAATTTTCTTGTGATGAAAGCATTTAAGACCTACTGTCTTAGCAGCTTTCAAATATACAGCACAGTATGGTTAACTATCCTGACCGTGCTGTACATCACATCCCCAGGACTTATTTATTTTATAACTGGAAGTCTGTACCTTTTTTTAGCATATTTTGGGGGGCCCCCTCACCGTGCAGCATGTGGGATCCCGACCAGGGATCGAACCCGCGCCCCCTGCATTGGAAGCTTGGAGTCTTAACCACTGGACCGCCAGGGAAGTCCCCTGGAAGTCTGTACCTATTGACCCCCTTCACCATCTCACCCACAAATCCTTTTTTATTTTTCACTGTATACCAGTATCTAGCATAGTGGCTGGGACATACCAGGTACTTAATGTTTGTTGAATGAGTCACGAACGTACCACTTCTTACTTAAAACACCCCAAGTCTTTGGGGAGCGAGAGGATAGCAAACCATCCTCTAGCGCTCATTGAGCTGAGGCGAGTCTCTCTTCGCCAACCAACTGAATTACCTGTCAGCCACCTCGACATTTATTTCACACGCCCCTTCTCCTGTGCCTCTTTTATAAAACCTCTCATGTTGGGGAGGAAAAGCCAAGGTTCCAGCTGAGCCTGACGTCTCTTGCAGACCTAAGAAATCCTTCACTCTCTGCCAGACCTTTTCCTAATCCTCGTCCAACAGATTATCTCTGTACTCCTGTCATACACCTTGAGTCCCTTTCGCCCCATTTTTCTCCTGCTTCCCACCCGTTCCTAGTCAAGCACCACCTCACTTTCTAATCCTGCCCCGTGTCTCTCAGATTCCTTGATGCAATTTTAGTGCTGCCAAGTCCCGGTGCTGGACGTCACAGGAACAGAACAGGAAAATTCCCTGCTCTGCATTGATGTATTGTGTCCCTGTCCTAGATCTGGGCGTGTGTTTGCCTGTGAACGGCTTTTCCTTCAGCCGCAAATACAGAGCCCCTGGTGGGAAAAGTCCAGATCATTTGTGTTTTTTCTTGTCTACTTTTTTTTAGAAAGAAAACTTTATTCAAATGGATAAGCAAGGATTAGGGTCCGTTCTGTTGGGATTTTACTCATCTGTTTATTATGACAGAGCTGTGCTTATGCGCCCAAGATGGGATGTGCATTCTAAATGAAGAGGTGGGAATGAAAACAGCAGCAGGTGAGGCTGGCCTGATGAGCCTTGAGTCCAGGTGCCCGCCTTGTCCTCTAGGGAACTCTCTGCATCTCCTCTCTGGCACAATGATGGGCTGAAATCTACACAGATGTGGACAATTATGGCTTGGAAACTTGAAATTTGGTTTCTGCAGCCATTTATCCCATTGTCTACACAGATGCCATTTGCGTGAGAATTTAGAACATTCAAGGACAGGAATTATGTATATAATTTATCAGTAATTTTACACTTGTTTGAGGGTGCATATTCAACAACTCTCTCGTTGCCATGTGCACCCTATATTTAAAATGGATAACCAACAAGGACCTACTGTATAGCACAGGGAACTCTGCTCAATATTACGTAACAACCTAAATGAAAGAAGAATTTGAAAAAGAATAGATACATGTATATGTACAACTGAATCACTTTGCTGTACACCTGAAACTAACACAACATTGTTAATCAACTATACTGCAATATAAAATAAAAAGTTAAAACAAATTTCTCATTAAAAAAAAAAAAAGGAACATTCAAGAGTTTAGAAAACGGTTTTCCCTACCCCTGCTAGAGCCCTTTCACTCTCATAGCATTTAGAAACAGAAAGAGGGTCTCTGATGTCTTTGGTGCAGATCCTCGGGCAGGTCTGGCAGGTACACCGCCTGGCATCCCTGGCTGTTCCAGGTCCTTTCCTTCCCCGAATCCTTCTCTTCCAAGAGCAGAGCCCGTGTAGCTCGTCCCTCTGCAGCCACGTGGCCATAAACCGATAGCAGCTGCTTTTCCCTCCCTGTGGATCAGAGCTCCTGGACTCAGGAGAGGGAACAAGAATGCCATGAAGGTGCCTTTAGCATCCACTGACACTGGTTCTCTAAGAAGAGTGAGTCTGTGAATTCAGTGGCCAAGAGTAAGAGAGAGCTCTGTCCAGAGTTCTCTCCAACAGCCCTCGGGTGGAGCTGCGTTAGAAACCAACACCCTGGCCCCAGATAAGTTCAGACGGGCGCTGACGGATGCTGGCCTCTGGAGAGAGATGCAAGCTCAGACTTCTGCCCCTCAGGGTGCTTCTCTTTCACCAAAAAATTGGATCACACACCTGGGAGCTGAGTCCACAAAAGGACTATTTTAAGCGTGGCTCCCCAAATTCCACAGAAAAATTCCTCCCTGGTGCTTGACTGAGGACGTGGAGAAAAGGTGAAGGAAGTGGGAGTGACTGGGGTGCTCGCCGACACGCCCTAGTTCATCCCCTTTCCTTCAAGATCGCCCATGAGGCTAAGAGGAAAGAGTCAATTCATTTGCAAGGGGGGAGGGGGAGCTTGGGGGGTGGCAAACATTTTTCCTCTTTCAACTTCAAATGTGGAGTCTATGGTGCCCAGGAAAGTGAATAGAAAAGTGCTTGTGTGTGTGTCCACTTACAGTTTGTCCACTTGTTTTTGCAAGAGTGTCCATAGCTCTCCTTGGATTTTCGGAGAGGTCCGTAGGCCAAAGTGGGTTCAGAACCGTTGCCCTGTGTCCTCCATTATTTCACATCCCCTGTCATCGGGGACAGACATCCCGAGAATAGTGGTCCAGTAGCAGAAGACAAACCCCAGCTGTTGCCAAATTCCGTGGATAAGGAAACTGGTATCCACCACATTGATTCCCTCCTGAATGACACTATACCAGCCTCTGCTCCTAAAGGAAGTGGAAATGAAACAGCTCTCTCCACCACACCCCATCCAGGCATCATTTATTCCATTCGTGATACCCAATACATCACATGACAAGCTCCTCTCTGCCTCATCGCCCCATCCCGGGAGGATCAGGCCCCATGCAGGCATCCTTCCATCCTGGAGAGACTCCTTATCTACTCATTCTGGGCAAAAGAACCGTGACTAAAACGATCACTTGAGTACACCCTGTTCTTGTTTCCATTCTTAGTGGTACCTAAAGGATTATTATAATCCAGCACTCTACAAAGGCACGGAAAGGATTGTGACCCTTCAGCTTATCTAAGCAGACACACCTCAGTAACAAACTATAGACATTGCCCAGCTCTGCAGCAGGATGTGGTTCTGATGCCAACAGGAAGATTGGTGGAAGCTTCATGCGGGAAGATGCGACGTGGGGATGTGTCTGCAACCAGACTCTTTCCACTGGTGTTTCTGCTGTTGATATTTTTCACCCTTTTCCCACCCCCAACTGTTCAGTTCTTTACATCCATGTTAACAAAATACTTGCTAAAAATTATGAGTGTTTTTTTCTCATTCTGCAACTTTTCAAAGTCCAGACACGATGTAGAGAACCTTCATCCAGTAAAGGATTCCACCAACGGTACTATCCTTCCGGTTTTGCTAATACTCTAGGATGGCATTAATTTATCATCCAGGAGAAATGCTAAACCAGGATGACAGGTGCAGACAAAGACCATCCCAGGCCGCTGGGGGTGTCAGGTGACCACATTCTTACACAGTGATCTCTTCCTCACAGCTTTCATCTGCACCACCTGCCTCATAGCGGAGCTCTCCCAGCTAAGGTAGTGAAGGGAGAAGATGCTTTGAAGCAGGAAGATAACCAGTTCCAAGTTCAAGAACTACCTGAAAAAGAAAAATCTCCCATCATACAGAAGTCATGGACTCCACGTTCGTGCTCCTGGGTCGTAGCTTCACATACTGCCTGGCTGAGGTTTTGCTGTTCAATCTTCCCATGTTCCTTTACACGTAGACTGGGCAATGTTATAGTTAATCCTCTGATTTCTCTCCATAAATTGCATATAAATTTAAGGCATCATTCAATCATCATGGAATCAAAAAAAAAAAAAAAACCAAATCTCCACCAGGATTGTCAGGAACCAGGGGTACAATGAAAAACAGCCCATCGTCATCCTGTCTTCTTTCCGCAGCTTCGAAACGTGGCAGCAAATCTCTGCGTGGACAGCAAGCATGGAGCCACAGGGACCGAGCTGAGGCTGGACGTCTGTGTCAAGGACGGTTCTGAGAGGACGTGGTCTCATGAACAGGTGCGTTATGGGGGGAGGGGCTGAGGCAGGCGGGGGGCGGCAGTGTGGGAACAAACCTCTAGGTGGGACCTGGGTGAGGCCCTGAAAGGTCACCACCCAGCTCTGCAGTCAAGGGAATCACTTCGCTTCTTTGCTTCCGTTTCTTCTCAGAACAGTCGTGATTGTTAATTGAGATCGTGTATAAAAATATGCTTTAAAGAATAGAAAGGGGGACTTCCCTGGTGACGCTGTGGTTAAGCACGCTCCCAATGCAGGGGGCCCGGGTTCGATCCCTGGTCGGGGAACTAGATCCCGTATGCCGCGAAGCAACTCAGAGTTCGCACGCCACAACTAAGGAGCACACGTGCCACAACAAAGGAGCCCACCTGCTGCAACTGAGACCCAGTGCAACCAGATAAATAGATAAAATAAATACTAAAAAAAAATAAAAGGGTGGCAAAAGATAGACCATGCTTTTAAAAAGCTAATAATAACAGAAAGGGTGGTAGAGATGTTGATTGTGACCCTAGTCTTCTATTGCCTTTCCCAGAATGGTAATTTTCAAACCATGCAAAGCTTGTAGAGTGCTAGGTAACTCTCCCAAGCAAATTTCATGGTTTTACTGAAAGGCTCTCGGTTATTCTGTAAGTTTTTGTGACTTTCTCTAATCTTATTTTCCCCCTCTGGCTGTTTACTGAAAAGAATACTTTACATACACCTCTGGTCGTAGCAGCAGTTTGTAATCTTACACACAAAGGATCGCTTGGAGGCAGTGACTCCCCAGCAGGGACTCCAGGGGAGGCTTGAAGACTATTTATTGCTTTTGCTTGAAAAACATTTCAGAGCAATTCACTTTATTAAGTGAGGTATGATTCCTGACCCTCTTTGAAACACCCTTGAAAGGGGCTTTCCTCACACTGTGTCACCGGTAAAAGAGGAGAGACGGTGGGTAGAATTAGGTCTGCCCGTTTTTATTATTTGAATATTAAATTATAAACTATTTCAAATAGGAAACTATAAAAGAATTACGGCACACCCTGGTGTACTCATCACACGGATTGAACGAGTATCTACAGCTACTGCCATATTTTTTAGAAGAAAAAAATGTACAGATACAGTGAAAACCCCTCCGCCCTCCACCCTCTACAAAAGGATACATCTCAAGTTCAAGATCCTATGTCGGGCTTATGCCTTGTCTCCCAGAATTGTCCACAATGCTTCTCTCATGAAAACCAAGAGTAGGCAAGCAGTCTCCAGTAAGGCATTAGTTCTCTCCTCCAGTGGTTCCTCAAGTGTCCATCATTTTTTTTTTTTTTTTTTTTTTTTTTTTTTTTTTTTTGT